TTATCTTGGCTGAGAAACCTCCGCTTTGCTCTTGGGCTTAATGTTGGGCTTCGGGCAAGTCTCCTTTAATTCGGCACCCTTGGGCTTTTCTTCATCTAAGTACAATGTTCAAATATTAACCCAAACAGGTGGTTTTCGTCTTGTTGAGATTTTCAATAAGAGTAAGTGGAAACTTTCAGTTCTAAGGTTTTAATTGCATTGAGAAATTGTTATCCTAGTCATTGAGATTGTAGCTTCCTGAATTTGTTTTATGTGACTTTTGAAAGCGCATTATAGCTGATATGGATTGTGTTGTTTGTGTATGTTGTCTTGTGATGCAGTTATGGCGATTCGAAGATGATAGTGTGGAGTCAGAGCAAAGATTGTGAACCCGTGGAATGTGAAGATCATCTCGGTTGGTTGGTAGAATTTATTTGATTTAATGTGTTACCAGTAAAAGTTCCACTAAGTTATGCTCGTAGGAAAAATCAAATTAATTGTCTTAATGTGATAAAATGGTTCCCTTTCATTTATGCTTGTAGGAAAATCAGAATGATTCAGCTTTCAAGGTCAATGGTTTGTTAGACCCCTGGAACCATTATGCCCACAAGTAGTTAATTAGTTACCCCTTCCTTTGTGCTTTAATTATCTTGATTTGTATCGCTACAATGAAATAAGAATGCTGTTATTTATCTGTAAGAATTTCACTGCATCGAATACGTATATTTACCAAAATAAAAAGTACATGGGAGGGGAGATTGCTCGTGAATTTCTACGATTGGTTCTGATTGTATAATGGTTTGCACAAATTGGTTGCCTATGTTGTGAAGCCTACGTACCAAATAATTTTCACACACCGTATCATTATTTAAGATTTGCATAGAAAAAGGAGGACACACTTGTTCTTGCAAAGGGAAACTCGTTTTTGTTAATAGCTTGTCTTATATGGAAGTGTTCTCTCATGGTTTTGTCTCTTATCTTGTGATTCTAACTGCAGATTCCTTGTCCGCAATGATATGCCTCTCAGAGTGCTTCCCAAGTTTATTGGGGTTCAACTTGTTAACTTTCATATTCCATTGTATCTCAAGAACACTGCACCTCCCATTGGTAAGCAGAGCTGCAGTTTTTTCTTTTTGTTATTCCCAAATTATTTGCCTACCTTGTGTTTGTAATAACTTCAATTCTTGCACTGTCGCAGAGGCTTTGATGTCTGAATTTGTTGCGGAGAATAAGGGTGACGATGGAGATCTTCACACAACCTATACTGGCAAAGGGAAAGGAGACGACTCTGAATCATTAATGTGTTACCAGTAAGAGTTCGATTGAATTAGATACTTTTAATTCCCAGTCAATAGGTGGACATACCTCTATTTTATTTTGAGCCTTTATGCAAAGGACTAAGAGTAGAGCTGCTGCAAGGAGTGACATAATTACTCGCAGGGTCAAGGGGAGGAAGTTAGTTGTCGAACTAACAAGCCAATTTGGAGTGACATAATTCCTATAGGATTATAGATGGTATAAATGTTTTAGATAATGTATATATGTTTAAATACTAGAAGTGAAATACATTCTTCATTCTCAAAGAAACCAAATAAATGTTTTTGGATTTGTGAATAATGAATAGTATCAGTGAGGTTGGATTGTTATTTTAGTTTGGAACCTATAGTAAATTTCAAATGAAATAATTTTGGTGAAGCTATTAAAAATAATGTCGTTGTGGCGTCCCATTTGATGCCCTTTGTTTTTTAAACCTGAGACCACTTATTTGCAACGCGTAACCCACTGTCGCAAACCCGTAGTAAATAGTATTTGTGATGCACTCAAAGCATCACATATAATGGACCAAACATTTACGACACCACTTTGTTGTGACGCATTATTGACCATCGCAAGGCCGTCGTTAAAGGGCTATTGCAACGCGTTTTAAGTGTCCCATAAGACCCATTTTTTTGTAGTGGGCCCCACCTAGGCTCTAAGCCTCAACCCGCCGCCCGACTAGCACCTAACATCTTTTATAACCTTGGACACGCCAATTACATGCCTAGACACCTCCCGCAGTGCGAAAGCAAGTAAAAGTGAAACTATAATATAAGTTTCTTTGTGAAAAGAACTTGTATAAAGAAAGGTAATCACTTCAAAACTTGTTTCCATTGATAAACATCAACGTTAATTTTGCATGAGACATATCTATTTAGAATGACACCAAGAGATTTACTCCATACGATTTACAACCAAACATATAGCATAAGATAAAGAAAACATCTGTGTTTCTCATTCTTACTTGGCCAAATGGCCTAAACTATGAGAAATTATCAAAGTTTTTCTTCTCTATAAAAAAAATTTAAATTTAAATTAAAAAAAAAAAGCGCCACCCAGACCTTCTAGTTAATTAATATGATAAATGATAGATTATGACCCAAAATAAAAAGAAAGAGAAAAGATAATATAATAAATTATAAACAGTTGGATAGTTGTTTTTAAGAAATTATAAACTGTTGGGTAGTTGTTTTCTATGAATCTTCTATGAATTTTCATTCAGATGTATCTTTCTTGATTCTATGGTTCTGGTCTCCTCTCCTCTTTAAGGCCCTACATAGAATTCTTTGCGCAAATTAAGCAAGCTGCTTTCTGAAATAAAAAATTAACGGAAAAAATGCTAGTAGATCACATAATCATTCAATAAGATAAATTCATTAATTGACATAACATATATACATCATTTATCACATCAAATAATGAACGAATGTGATTAAAAAACGCAATCATCCTAGAATTACTCGTCCAAAGAAAAGACAAGAAAACATTTATCTTATAGATTTTCCGAGTAATTTTGGGTCATGGTTTTCCGCGGATTCAAATTTTATTGTTTAACCAATAAAAAGAAAATTCTAAATATACTTCTCATAGAGCTGTATGTGTTTGGCCTGCAGCAAGCCTAGCTTAATTGCATAAAAATTAAGGAACTTTAACGAAAAGCTCCAGGTACTGTTTACTTTAACGAAAAACCACATTTTTACATTAAAAAGTTAATCATTGTATTATTCACTTTACCTTTTATTTTGTCCTTATCGTTGAAAATCAAAGTTTTCAAACACTTTTTATTAGTTTTCCTTAAAATTAAATGTTATTCTGCAAGAGCTAGAGTCGCTTGATTTTGTTTACGATTCATGCTTCCAAAGCCCCACACAGAGGTGGATCCATTCAGGGACTAGGGTGGTCCCAGGACCACCCAACGGCCTGGAGTTTTGCGGAGGGGAGATATGCAGCGGTGACTCTCTGCAGACTGCAGATGAAAAAGAAAGAAGGTTGTTTTCTTGTTAAACTGAATCGGCCAAAACGCACCGTTTGAGTCCAATACAATTAAAATGAATGTGTGAGCCCAATTCCCATTTTAATATTTTATATAAGAGACCCTAATCGGTAATCCCAATGCCCAATCCCTTTTTCCTCTCTCCCCAGTTTCCTTTTTCGTTCTAACCGCATATGACCAAGCCATCACCTGTCCACCTCTCTCCTCTCAAACACCGCTTCATTTCTTAATTTTATTTTGTTATTTTAATACTGTCCTAATGTCTAAATTTAAATAAGTTTTCTAATTTTAGTCCAAAATAGAATGCTATTAAATTGATGTGTATCGGATAAAATTGTTAGATTCCTAATATATACTAGTTAGTGCTTGGATTGTAATTTATGATTTTTTTTATATTGATTTGATCATGTGATGGTTAATTTCTATATATATGTTTTGTTTTTCAACAAATATACATATGTTTTTATCTCCATTAATTTATATGAATTTTTGTTTTAATAATTGAATGTGTAGAAATTAAGAACATGGTACGACATAATACATGAAAATCATACTCGATTAGTTTAAACAATGTTATTTCAAATAGTACAACTCGGGAAGAGATCGGGTCCGGATCTCTCCCATCAAAGGCCCAAGAACAAATGATCCGGACCGTTGAAATTTAATCAAACGGCTACAATTATTATAACTTTTAGAAGAGCCCCCTGTTTGTAACCGTTGGATCAAATTTCAACGGTCCGGATCACTTGATCGTGGCTTTTGATGGGAGAGATCCGAACTCTTCCCGTTCAACTCCAATACTGGGACCACCCAATGATAAAAGTCTGGATCCGCCACTGGCCCCACATACCCTTCAAATAACAGGAGTAAATAATAAAACTGCGACTCCCGAGAGTAAATCTTATATACCAATTAATATAAACAAAGACCTTAGCTAAACCGATTAGGTATACTCCTAAGTAATCCATAATTATTTATGAAATAAATAATGATATCTTTGCTCCAAATTTCTACTCTTTTACATTGCATGTCGTGGACGGGGGACCACTCTTGATCATCCATCTTCTTTTATAAACCACCAAACACCCAACGGAGAGCATTGCTTTATCTGAATATTCTACCATCATAATTTATTTAGTTATATTATTCTTAGAATACTTTTCTTAATTTGCTTCTTGAAAAGCAAGCAAGCTGGGAAATTTCTCAGTAATATAATATATCTTAGCGTTATTGACAAATTAACGCCTAGTTTTATATTGAGAAGAAATCTTCTTCAGATCTCTTCCATCAAGATCATCGGATCAAATAATCTGGGCTTTTCAAATTTTATCCAACTGTCCACCTGTTTTGATCCCTTAAAAGCTGTAATAATTTTTTGCCATTGAATGAAATTTGAAAAACCCGGATCACTTGATCCGGTGGTCTTAGTGGAAGAGATGCGGAAAAGTTCTCTTCTCTTTTATATTTACAGAATGCCATGTGGACATGCATAACATATTCATAGACTTTCTATACAGTAATCAATATCAGTACGTAATGCACTGTAACTTCCAGATGTAGACTTTTGGCATGGTTTCTTAGAAAACTTCTTCACCGTTATTTAACGGTATCCTCCTCAACAGGGTTATAAAAAGAACCAGAAATAATACTTTTCTACAAGAAAATTAGAGCGAACAAAGAACACCATTAATCTTGGTTATAGAAGAGCAATATGAAGGCAGTTTCAGCACCAGCACTATTTGTTTTCTTTCTCTTGTGTCTAGCAATCCCTCTTATCCTTTTCATTTCCTTCTCGTTGTCTCTCTCGGTTTCACAACACCACAACTTTCTTCTTTCCACCTACGAATTCATCGTGGTGGCAAAATCGAATCGTGTGGCCGTGTTCTTCATGTTTAATGTCATCTTTATCACAATTGTGTTCGGGAGTTTCAGGCCATCCAAAGAAGAGTTTGAACGGTATGAAGTGAAAAATGATACAAAAGAAGAAGAAAGAAAGGTTGAAGATTATTATTGTGACTATAGTAGTGATTATGAGGAGGGCAGTGAGTATTATGGTTCCGATGGTTATGATGAAGACGAAGATGATGATGGTAGTTATGATGACGATATTGATAGTGAAGACTTTTTTGGTGAAGAAAAAGATAGTGACTTAGAGAGGAGAACCGAGGATTTCATAGCCAAAGTCACAACGAAATGGAGAGAGGAGTTGCGTTATGATATGTTCATGGCTTCAATAGAGTCACAATCATCCGTCTCTGGCTAGCTCTGGTATATATTTCTTCAGTGCTAGTTCAATGTGAAAAACTTTCATTTTGTTGTAATTGGGGTTTTTACTCTTTAAATTTTCTCCCCTTCATCAAATTTTTAGTGTTAGATGATGAAGTTGGGGTTGATTAGTCTCTTCAAAGTTCTGTTTTTTAAAGGACACTGTTGGGACTTAAATATGGTGATGTAATATGTGATATGAATGTAAACATAGTTGCTGTGTAATATTATAATGTTTTTTTATCAAGGAAAAGAATTTTATTAGATTCGAATTGAAATGTTTACATCAGAAGCTAAAGTGTTAAACAATCATTCTAGCTCAAAATAGTCCCATCCATAAGAGTCTCTCTCCCGTAAGACGAAAGCGGCCACTAGATGTGCTGCCGAATTACAAATTCGAGGAGCAAAAATGACATCCACTGACCTCAGCCACTGCTTGACATATTTATTGAATACCAAGAAGGAGTGCTTCAATTGCAACATTTGGTTGAGCCTTGCCGTTAATCATATCCACAAGTTCTTTAGAATTTGATTCAATCTGAACCTCATCAAACCCCATATCAATACAAGCCAACAATAAATTGTTAGACCATCCAAGTTTTCTTTCTTTATTTTGGAATATAAAGATATATTGAGAAAAAAATTCTAATACAGCTGCTCATATTTTGTTCAATATATATTGGGAAATGGATTCTCTCCTAAGTATCAACTCAGGATCCTACCAACCCGCACACAAGGATCCGAATCCATTTCCTATTGAGCTGTGAACGTCACAATTGCTCCTAATTAATCAAGTCATCATGTCATCAAGGTGTCAGCAGATCATGATCTCAGCATCAATTAACTGGGGGAAAAAAGAAGACGAGTACCGTTAAATGTCCAAAGTCCTAAACCAAGGCATTTACTTTATTTATAATTATTATTTTAATAAAAATTTAATTAATAATGAATCAAATCTTTGAAGTCTTGAAATAATCAGCATTAAGGATATGATTGGCACCTTATACATAGTTCATGTAGGAAGATACGCAGGAAATGCCATTTTCTCTCCTATTGTATGTGATTGTCATAAAATAAAATATGTAAGGGAACTTTAACGAAAAGCTTCTGGTACTGTTCACTTTAACGAAAAATCACACTTTTACACTAAAAAGTCAATCCTGGTACTATTCACTTTACCCTTTATTTTGACCATATCGTTAAAACTCAAAGTTTTCAAGTCATTTTCATTAGTTTTCCTAATATATAAAGACAAAAACACCCTTAAAACAAAAAAATCTACAACCAAATGTAAATAGAAGACAAGAGTTCTTTGACCAAAAAAATAAATAAATAGAAGATAAGAGTTAGCAAGGGTTTTACAGTAAACAAATTATAAAACAGTGACTATCAAAATCAGAATAAAAATCGAACGTGAAGAACCCATTGTAGAGGAAAAGAAACCACCCGTACTCTACGTTCTGCAGGTAACTGTAAAACTACTAGCCACCCTCATCTTACATAATTGAAAAATTAGTGCATGGTTTTTCATTCCACACCATGGATACAAGTGAATCACAACAAAATCTAAACGGACGGTGAAGACGAGGCAGGGTCATGCATGGGTCTTCTGTCACCATTTTCAGAGGTATATTACTCTCTTTCGTCACCATTTTCAGAGGTATATTACTCTCCTTCTTTTCTCCCTCTCACACTTACACTTTCTGATATATTTTCCTCCTATTAAAATTGGTGCCTTTTTCACCTTTCATTGAATACTTTATGATGATGTTTCATTGGTCATTTCTTAATTGCTTCAATTAAACTAGTATTAGTTATTTTGTGCTCGCGGGGTTTGTGCTAGGGGAGGCTGGATGAGGCGGAGCAGGTTGGGCTGTTTCGTGCGACTATGAGGCGATGGAGAGACTAGCCATGAGACGGGGGTTGTATAGTGTGAAAAAGGCACGAGAGAGAGAGAGAGAGAGAGAGAGAGAGAGAGAGAGAGAGAGAGAGTTAATGACTGTTTGGTAGAAATTAATCTATAAAAGAGTTAATGACTGCATTGATCGCATTTGAAAGGACCTTGAAGACAATTTGAGTACCAAACAGATAACTATGACCATGGTAAGTGATTTTGTCATCGCTTCTATGTTCCATTTAATTGTGGATTACGCATTCTTCTTAAATATCTATAGTTTTGGCTCAGCATTCTACTTTGTTCCACCTTCTTTCTAGCCTAATGAGTAGCCTATTTGATTGTATTAACTCTTACATTGACATTTTTTATTTGTCATTGCTGATAATTTATATAACATGGTTTATCTTCCTAACATTGTCTCGATTATTCAAAGAGTAAATTCCTTGCTCTCTCTTTCTTTAATCTGGCAAGTGGGTTTTTCAATTTGATTCTCGACCCAAGAGAGAGAGTGTGTGTGTGTGTAGAAAGAGAAGGCAAAGATGGTTTGGCATTTGGGTGACGACGGCTTACTTGCGTATGGTTTAAACAAAATGCCCAAATGCTGATTATCATATTCTGCTTATTTAGCTTAGCTTTTATGTAGTTGAGTTGTTGCTTGAGTATGATTAGAGTAAGAAAAGTAGTAGTGCTACAGCGGAAGAAGAGGGAAGAGAAATAGTTGAATCATCTTTTTTTTGTTTTGGGTAACATAGTTTCATCGCTTTTGGTTTATCCTTATCTCCATGATTTTGTTATTAATTTAATTATAAATGTTCAATTTTGGTTCATGGTAATTACAGTGGATAGAATGGAAGGTTAAAAAAAAACTCTCTATGCCGCATGCCATGATATAAAAAAGGTCTTTGCCCGTGCAAGGTGCGTGCAGAAATGCTAGTATATATGTGTAAGGTAAATCGTCAAAATTGTCTCTGAGATTTGCATAACTCATTTCTTTGGTCCCTGAGATTCCAAATCAATAAAAGTGGTCCTTGAGATTGTCCACCATCCATCATTTTGGTCCTTCCGTTAAAAACTCCGTTAAGTGTCCCGGAGCTCTTCACCGGAAGTTTGGACAATTTTCAAAACTTCGTAACTCAATCGTTTCTTAACCAAATTCGACCCATAATATATCAAAATGAAGATAGGAAAGTGTAGAATACGATTATACCTATTTCGAAGCCCAATGGTTGCCAGAGATTGCCGGAAAATAGCCTCAAAGTTGACTGGTCCGAGTGAAAACTTGAAAACTTGCCAGAACTTGGGTAAACTTTAAACGTTCATAACTTTTTCAATACTTAACAAAATCAAGTGATTAAAAAATGAAAATCATACTTCTCGATGAGATGAAGAGAATGGGACATTTTTAGACAGCTAACTCTCCATGGTTTGGCCGGAAAAACGGCTCAAAAGTGGCTGACTTGAGACCAAGACAGCCACTTTCGAATCGTTTTTTGGCCAAACCATGGCGAGGTAGCCATAAAAAAAGGTACCATTCTCTTTGTCTCATTGAGAAGTATGATTTTTGTTTTTGAATCACTTGATTTAGTTGAGTATTGAAGAAGTTATGAACGTTTAAAATTTACCCAGTTTCTGGCGAGTTTTCAAGTTTTCACTCGGACCAGTCAACTTTGAGGCTATTTTCCGGCAATCTCCGGCAACCATTGGGCTTCGAAATAGGTATAATCTTATTCTACACTTTCCTATCTTCATTTTTGATATATTATGGGTTGAATTTGATTAAGAAACGATTGAGTTACGAAGCTTTGAAAATTGCCCAAACTTTCGGCCAAGAGCTCCAGAACACTTAACAAAGTTTTTAACGGAATGACCAAAATGATGGATGATGGACAATCTCAGGGACCACTTTTATCGATTTGGAATCTCAGGGACCAAAGTGATGAGTTATGCAAATCTCAGGGACCATTTTGGCGATTTACCTATATATGTATGTATATAAACATGGGTACATTCGTCAAAATTAACAAATAATTATTTTACCAAAATATGGGTATATTCTTCAAAACCACACAAAAATAATAGATATTTGGCTTAATAACACTAGTAAATTTCTTTGATTAAACTTGACAAGGATACATTCTCAAATCAAGAAAAAGAATGTACCCATATAAGTTTAAAAATGGATTAGAAGAAAAAATTGAATAGATTTTATATAAAAAAAAAAGGGGGTAAATTTTACAACAACAAATTGGTATATTTAAGAAAGGAAAACTAATGAAATAGGCTTCAAATCTTTACATTTTAATCAAAAACCACCCACTAACTTTATTTTAATAATAAGGACAAAAGACTTAAAAAAAAAAAAAAAAAACTTGACAAACCCACTCTCTCTAGGAGCTGTTGCAGAAGCACGGCCCCAGGAACTGGTCGCTGATCAGCAAGTCAATTCCGGGTCGGTCCGGGAAGTCGTGCCGGCTGCAGTGGTGTAACTAGCTGTCACCTCAGGTGGAGCACTGCGTTTTCACTCCCGAGGAGGACGACACGATTATCTGGGCCCATGCCCGGTTCTGGAACAAGTGGGCCACCATCGCCCGCCTCCTCAACGGCCGGACATTTTCTCAATTTGGATAACGGAATGGAGCTCAATGCAAAAGGTTTTGAGCTTTATGGACAGAAGAAGTAGCTAGGTACTGAAAACCCTGATCATAAAATCTATGGAGGGTCTGTGGAGGGGGACGGAAGGAAGAAGAGGGGTGGTGGCGTTGTCTTTTATTTTTATTAATTTTTTCTTTTTTTCAAGTTAGGGAAAATAATAATTTTGGTCAATGTACAGAGAGAGACTGAGAGAGAGAGAGGTAGAAAGGTCAGAGTGGAATCCAGTTCAAAGAGGCCACTTGCTTCATTAAATTCAGATAAAAAGTTAGAAAATGATGGGTTATGGTACCAAATGAGGCGACTTGCTTAATTAATTTTGGTAGACATAGATGCTTGTGCCATCTTCTTCTTGAGTAGTCTAACGCCAATGTCAGCATCTAAAACTCTAACAAATTCTGCTAAAGTTGTTCTTGTGACTCTCTCAAACTCGCATCTCGGTGGGTTTACAA